AAGAGACAGGGCCAGTCTGTATAATTTGTGTGTTCACACAGACCTGACTGTACATACTTATGTTCACACAGGCCAGTCTGTATAATCTGTGTGTTCACACAGGCCAGTCTGTATAATCTGTATGTTCACACAGACCTGACTGTACATCCTTATGTTCACACAGGCCAGTCTGTATTATCTCAATCTGTGTGTTCACACAGGCCAGTCTGTATCATCCTTATGTTCACACAGACCTGACTGTATCATCTGTGTGTTCAAACAGGCCAGTCTGTATAATCTGTGTGTTCACACCGGTCAGTCTGTATTGTCTGTGTGTTCACACAGGTCAGTCTGTATAATCTGTGTGTTCACACAGGTCAGCGTCGTCCAGCAGCTCCGAGGACGAGTCTCCTGTATTAACTGCGAAGGAAAAACAGAAGCAGTCCATACAGGAGGTGCGGCGCAGCCTGCCTGTGTACCTATACAGGGAGGCGCTGCTGCAGGCCATACAGGAGCACCAGGTGTGTACTACACAGCCTGCCTGTGTACAACACATGACCCTCACGCCATCCACACACAAAAATTAATGGATTTTGTCCAAATATTGATGCACTTCCCGCCTATATATAAGCCATCTTGACTCAGTTTTAAACGTTAATAGTACATATCAGTTCTTCAGATAAAAAGTTTTTCTCTTTTTGGACAATTTGATCGATTGCATAGAAAAGGATATAGAAATCCTTTTACTTCGTCCTTAGATATCCTTAGAAACGAATCCTTTTTTGGACAATTTCACCCATTGCAGGTCCAGTAGAAGTTTTTCCTCTTTTTCAGACAATTTGACGCATTTATTCCGTATTGCAGAGGTTCTGAGCATCATTGCAGGTTCAGATATGTAGTAATTCTGATCAAGTAGATAACAGTGCTCCTTATAGAAAATTCTTCACATTTTGGACAATTTGATGCATTTATTTTACATTTCATGTTCTGATCCTTAGATATCCTTGAAACGAATCCTTTTTAGCCTATTTTCTCATTTATGGAAAAATGCACTATTGTGCTCGCCATGTCCGTCTGTCCGTCTGTCTGTCCGTGACTTCACGTTTTCGTCGACGAGAAAATGCGCTCTCTGTCACTCACTGCAGTGAGTACTGAGTTATATTTTCAGACAAATTGACCCATCGCAGGTCTCTTCATATTCGATTTCCCTCCACATTTGCTAAAAAGTGTCTTGCTTTTTAGACAATTTGACGCATTTGTTCCACATTTCAGCTCTGATCCTTATATATTCCTTGAAACGAATCCTTTTTTCAGACAAATTGACCCATTGCAGGTCTCTCCATAAAGAAAGTTTTCCTCTTTTTGGACAAATTGGCACATTAATTCCATATTTCAGCTTCTGATCCTTAGATATCCTTAGAAACTAATATTTTTTAGACAATTTGACGCATTTATTCCGTATCGCAGGTTCTGATCATCGAGGGCAAGACAGGTTTTTCTCTTTTCGGACAATTTGACACATTGCAGGTCTCTCCATGTATAAAGCATTCCACTTTATGGACAATTTGCCTCATTTATTTCAACATTGCAGGTTCTGTAGAAAATTTTCCTCTTTTTTGGACACTTTAACCCATGTATTCCTTATTACAGGTTCTGATCATCGAGGGCGAGACAGGTTCTTCTCTTTTCGGACCCATTTACCCATTTATTCCACATTGCAGGTTTTGTTGAAAGTTTTCCTCTTTTTCTGGACAATTTGACCCATTTATCCCTTATTTCAGTTAATGATCCTTAGATATCCCTTGAAACGAATACTTTTTTTGTACAATTTAACCCATTTTATCCCGTATTACAGGTACTGATCATCGAGGGCGACAGGGTCTCGCCCCCTTAATTTGCCTCATATATTTCAACATCGCAGGTTCTGTAGACAGTTACCTCTTCTTTGGACAAATTGACCCATTTATCCGGTACCGCAGGTTCTGATCATCGAGGGCGAGACAGGTTCGGGGAAGACGACGCAGGTGCCGCAGTACCTGCACGAGGCGGGCTACTGCGAGGGCGGCAAGAGGGTCGGCTGTACGCAGCCCCGACGTGTGGCCGCCATGAGTGTGGCCGCCAGGGTCGCCCAGGAGATGGACAAGAAGCTGGGCAATGAAGTCGGATACTCCATCAGGTGCTTACTTTGGCCATCAGGTGGCCGCCACTAGCGTTACTTGGTCCATCAGGTGG